TCCTAAACCTCACGAATTTGATGCTCAACTTAAGAACACTCGACCTATTACTCTTCTGGAAACAGTTCGAAAATGTGTAGTTAAGGTCGTCACGAATCGTCTCTCCAACATTCTTGCTGATAATAAAGTTCTCCAAGGTGGTAACTTTGCTGGCTTACCTGGTGGTTCTACTGATGTCCCTATCAAAATGCTTGATGCGATTATCCATCAACATAAACATGACTCTACTGATGATCAGGAACTATGGATCGTTTCTCAAGATATCTCTAAAGCTTTTGATTCTATGGATTTAAATATGCTTAAATTAGCTTTAGATAGGTTACATATCCCTGCACTTTTAGTGCGATTTATTTTAAATCTTTTTACACGACGAAATAATAAGATAATTACTTGTCATGGCGATACAGCTGCTTATAGAGTACGTGTTGGTATCGATCAAGGAGAAATCATTTCCCCTCTTCTTTGGGTTATTTATTTGGATCCCTTACTTACTGTTTTGAATCAAGAAGCACGAGATCCTTTTATTTTAAAATCTTCAGCTCTTTTAAATTATTCTCCACTTGAATTTGAACAATGTTCTTTACCAGTTTCACATTTAACGTTTATGGATGATTCTACACTTATTGCTTCTTCAAAATCTGGAATAGAAGATCGTCTTTCTATTACTGCTGAATTTTATACTTTAAATAATGTTCAAGCTAATTCAGCTAAATATGTTCTTCTTTCCTCTTCTTCCCCTTCTTCAACGATTATTTTTGATCTTACACCTTCCTTTTTAGTTTCTGATTTGTCTCTTTCCCTTTCCTCTTTATCTTTTCATGCTTCCTTTCGCTTTTTAGGCGTTTGGTTTTCTTTGTCCGTCTCTTCTGATTTTGTTCTCAAACAAGTGCGCTCCATGGTTAAAGATATGGCAGCTCTTCTGGGACCTAAGAAATTATTAGCACAACATGTGGCCTATCTTTATAATGCTGTCCTTCTTCCGCGATTGGAATTTCGTCTTCAAACTACCCTTTTCTCTGAAAGTACTATTCAATCAATAGTTAAACCTATGTTTTCAGTACTTCGTAGAAAAGCTGGACTTGCTGCAACTACTCCATTGGCTTTGTTATTTCTTAAACTTCCTTTTTCGATTCAGAATGCTTTTTATCGATTTCTTTCTTCCCATATTGCATCTTGGCAAAAAATTTTCATTCATCCTGACTTTAAGGATTTTGCCCTTTATGCTATCTCCTATCTTCAAGGATATTTGGGTGCTGAAAGTTGCCCGACTACTATTACCTTAGAACCATGGTCACAGATCGTTTCTTTGCGAACGCACACTTTGTTTAATTCGTTATTATTTTCTTCGCGTTTAAACATCACGTGGTCTCTTTCCTTCCGGCCTCCGAGGCATGATCTACAACTTGCTCTGCCACTCCGATCTATTCTACCTCATTCCATTTTTCAATCGAGTTGGAAACTTTGGAAAAACTTGAATATATTTGTGCTCGCTCAGTTGGTTTCTCCTTGTGGACGTTATCTTATGAATTGGCCTGACCTTCGTTATCTTGGCATCGTTGGTCGTAAAGGACGGATCCCTAATTGGTTTAATTTTATCAATAATAATTTTCTCTCTTCTTCTTCTTCTACTTTACTTTTATCTTCATATTTTATTAATTCTTCTTTTACTTTAGCTTCTCCTTGTTTATTAGATCATACTGTTAAAGATTATTCTTTTTATCCTCAATGGGCTATTAATCTTGACTCTGCTACTCAAACTTTATCTGTTGGTCGTGTGTGTATCACTTATAAGAAACAAAACTCGGCTATTATGTCTCATTGGCTTCCTGTATCTAGCTCGGCTGATGAACGATCCTATGACCCTTGTCCCGGTTGTGCTCTTAACATTCCCGCCTTATCCATGAAATCTGCCATCAGACAACGCTGTAATAGCGAGAAATGTTTTTTTAATGTAACTTTATCGGATACTGTGGGCTATCCTACCAGAAACGCTAAAGTTTTCGCGGCTTATCTTCCCATTACTCTATCTACTTCATGGAGTTATGCGACTTCCTTGGCTCTTGTTCATTTTTCGAACGCGTCTCCCGCTCTTTCTCCTCTCTTTAAGGATAGAATCGACAGAATTGAAGACACTATCTTACCACTTTCTGTGCAATCTTTGTACACAGATGGTTCGTTCCATCCTGCTAATGATTCTTCGCCCTCTTCCATGACTTCTGCTTGGATTGCTCTTGATGATGTTGGACTTGTTCTGGAATCTTCTTCCATGCATCTCCCTTCTTACTTTCCTTCAGCTTTGCGTTCCGAAATTTCTGCTTTACTTTTAGGATTGAACGCCCTTTCTTGTGATTCATCAATCTCTATTCATACTGATTGTAGTCAATTAATTTCACTGTGGACACGGTTTGTTGATGCTCCTTTCTCACCGAAGTTGCTCCGAGAACCTAATCATCTTCTTTGGCTTTCTATTCGACATCTTATCATGGATCGTAATCTTCATGTCGATTTGATTAAAGTCCCTGCTCATGGTGATGATATCTACAATATACAAGCGGATTCTTTGGCAAAAGATGCTCATTCGTCTTTACAACCCACTGCTATACCTTCAGCATTTTGTTATGCTCCATGCTTGTTGACTTTTAACTCCTTGCCTATTGACGTGAATATTCGACATTTTCTCCGCTCTATTGCAGATGCTCGTGCTCTTTTATCTTTCTGTTCACTAGCACGTTTTACTGCTCTTGGTTTTCCTTCACTTTTTGATTGGGCTGGTATATACTTTTGCCTTTCACAAATTAAAGGTTTCGCTTCACATAGGAATGGTCGTCCTGAATTTTGGATCTTCCGCATTAAACTTCTTTTGGATATGTTGCCTACCTTAACTACTCTTCAACAACGTAAACCTTACTTATATTCTCCTGACTGGCTCTGTCCGCAGTGTAATTCTGCTCCTGAAGATTTGAATCATCTTTGGACTTGTCCTTATATTTTACCGGATTTAAATCCCTGTTTAACACACCGGTCTGAAGTCATTAAATTTAGAGATTCTTGTTTATCTTCTTTCCTATCCTTGAAATCTTTGGATAATTCCTTTCATACCGAGTTCTTTGCTTTGGATTGCTGGAACTATGAAGCTCCTTCTTCATCCTGTCTTTGGCTTACTCGAGGATTGTTGCCTGCGCATTTAACGGCATTTTTGAATCAATACTTTCCTCTCTCTGTTATATACAAGATTATTTCTCCCCTTCTTAATGACTTCCAAATCGAATTATATGGTGAAATTTGGCTGTGTCGGAATGTTCTTTTCCATGCTTGGGAAGAGTCGCAGGGTATCTCGGCTGCTTCCAAATTACGTGGCCCATCTATAAATTCTTTTCCTATTACTACTTCTCCTAAACAACTCAACTCTTCTTTGGCGTCAGTTTCTCAGGATTCCTGGATTTCTTGGATATCCTCTTCTATAATTCAGGGTGGATCTTGGATCTCGCACTTGGATTTTCTGCGCCGCTTAACAGTTCAACCTCTTAGGATTTCTTTCTGGTAACGGACTGGATTTTTGGAAGTTGGATAGTTGACTCACACTGGCCTTCGGGTAAAGTTGGGGTATGCGATTCTGTAATAGTTCAGTTTTTCTTTGCTTTAATTTTATTTTAGTTTAGATTTCTTTACTTGTATGAATCGTGAAGCTACTCTTTTTATTTTTTATTAGTTTATTTTCTTATTTTTGTTATATTGTTCGATTATATTTTCGAAGTTCAAAGTATAAATAAAAGATAAAGTCATAAGACTGTTTGTACAGCAAAAGGATAAAACTACCACCATTCGATTCATCTCAGTGAGACGATTCTAACAAGCTATGATACATTTTTTTATGATTATTAGATGCCAAGTTATTTAATATATTCTTTATATAACTGTGATTATAAACGGTTCTTTTTAATATAAGATTTTTGAGGATAGGTGTAATAGTGACTATGTGACTATATAGGATAGTTTTTAATAATAAAGTGTTTTGAACATTCAACTGGTGTGACTATATAGTAGAATGTGACTATAACGGGAGTGACTATAGAGGGAGTTGACTGTATTTTTAAAATTTTAAGTTTTGCCTGTAAATCTGTGGCTTCGCCTGAAGCTTCAAAGTCAAATTAGCAGATAATCGGCAAATATCGGCAAATATCTAATTATTAAAAATTTCAGTTTAATAACTTTGACAATATAATTTTTTTGCCATAAAACTTTTGTAATATGTTTTTCATAAATTATACTGCTAAAAACAAGCATTTTATGACTTTAACCGTAGCTTCAAAAATTAATGTGACATGATATATTATATGATCAACAAAATTATCGGTAAAGTGATAAAAGCATGTCTGCTATGCTGATGGTACTAGAGATATCGAGGCTGTAATTCAAAGCAGATTGGGGTACCATTTAAAAACATCCCTCTCAAAATTTGTATGATTCAAACCGGAAGTGTTGTTGAAAAGGAAATGGATGTGTACGATCAGTTTTCTGAAATTTTTACTTTTAATGAGAAGCCTAAAGCAGAGTACTTCCATATCACTGTATACCCTCAGTCAGAATAATCTTCTATGTCATACTATGTAATAGTTTTTATGTATTGTAGGCCGACTACTAGCAACGTTTTTTTATTTCATAAATAAAGTATTATTTTTACCAGTACATGAAAAAGTGGATAACTTGCGATGATCAATACTTGTGCGACATAAAAACCTATATTAATGCCCAGTATTCTCTTTCCCGAACAGAAATAAAATTTTACCTCACTCTGAAACGTAACACTATTTTTGTCTGAGCCTAATAACCATATAAAAAGTGCTATGTCTACCTCAACAGCTGAACACGACTCTTACTTGGTTGAGAACTGGGATACAGAAACCCTTATCAATTTTTTGAAAGAGCTGAACCTCAAGCTAGATGACGATGACTTGGGAATACTTCGCAACGAAAAAATTACAGGCCAAGATTTTCTTGACATGACCAAAGAAAAATTTAGTAGTTATAGTTTAAAAGGTGACCCTGCCATGAGACTTGTAAAAGAGGCCCAGGTCCTCAAAGAAAAGCCGAAGCGTGCATTCTCCTCATACTGCAGTTTGGAGGAAGTGTTAGAAAAATATGGCATTAAAAGTAGTAGTATAACGAGCATCCCTCAGTTCACACCAGGTAATTTATGCCAACTTTTTTTTTCGTTATAAATTTCCATTGACTTACACATTTTCCATTTATAGTATCCACTCAATCAATGAAAAATCTCCAAAGTTCAAGCTCTGCATAGATGACATTCTTCGTAGGATAAAAAATATGGGGCTAGTTGTAGATAGTAATGAGGCTATGCGTTGTAAATACATTTCTACAATCCTTCATACTGCTGTCAGCATCCTAGGAGGATTGGTAATCTTGCCTCAGATGAATGTATCTGGTGAAGAAAGTTCCAGCCGTGTCAATTATATGATCAAGAAAATACTGGATTATTTGCTCGAAGAAATAATATATATAATCGAAGGAAAGCAAAACCAGCTGGGGAAAGGAGTGGCTTAAAACCTTATACAATGTTGAAGTTCGTGCGAAGTAAGTAATACCTTTTTTATGTCTAGTCTTCATTCGACTATCCTTCTATCAGAATATACTAACAAATCCTCATTTGTAAACATAGATGAACTTAGATACGCTCAAGAAAAAGCGTACAGCTGATGAAGCATTCGAGGAATATGAATATCACTGGTAAAAAAATGGTCTATCCTACACATATCCTACACATATCTTACATATATCGGGTACTCAAAATGTAGAAAATCATACACAAATAATACACATATCATACACATATCGGGTACTTATATATATAGTATACCTATCAGGTACCTGATATATGTATGATATATATATTAGTACCCGATATGTGTATGATATGTGTATTATTTGTGTATGATTTTCTACATTTTGAGTACCCAATATGTGTAAGATATGTGTAGGATAAATCATTTTTTTACCAGTGTATGTCTATGGTATTGTCACAACAGGTGAGAAAATGACTCTAGTGAAGGTTTCTGTTTTGCTTTTGCATTACTAACTCTCACAATTTCTTAGCCACGGACTGGTATTTCATTCTACATAGCACCGAGGCTATTTATTGTACGAGCAAGACATCTCTCTGACTGAAGACGCACTCAAGGACTCAACCAACTTGCGCAAGAATGTGAAGAGGATTTTAGGGCTTATAGTGGGTTTGTTAAAAGATAGGTATCAGCTAGTGAAGAACTTGCAAATAAGAAGCGCCGTGTAGAGAAGATAATCAAGAAAAAATAATCATATATATTAGTCTAGACGTCATGTATTGGATTAGCTTTGCTAACCAACATTTGTATTTATTTTCGCATGTATTAATAAAATTTTTCTTGGCAATTTTCGCTGACGGCCGTAATGCAAATTTAATAATAGAATGTATAAATACTAATGGACTTTTGAATATTTCATATCTTCTATAAAAATATTATCGATCATGTCATCTGAGCTTGAATTATTGAGACAGCGTATCACCGAGCTTGAGGCTGAGAATACGAAGTTGAGACAAATTATTGAGGAGAATAGCAAACGTGAAGCTGAAAATGCTGAACACAAGGTTAGAATTGAGGAATTGGAAAAAATAGTGCAGATATTTTAGCTGAAAATGCTGAGCTTAAAGCTGAATTAGCCAAATTGAGACATGATTTCGATTTCTCCAACCTCACTAGGCCTCAACAATTCCAACATGTTACTAATGTGCAGAACTTATGCTTTGTTGGAGAAGAATATATATCTTCGGTAACAGCTGTATCACAGCCAGATACTGAACCCGAGAGGCACTTAGCTTTGAATGATATACCTGATCCTGTAATAGACCAGTGTGTTAGAATAGCTAAACAGCACGTAGCTGATAGCTCAGATATCAAGTCAATGGAGGAAAGGGAGACGGATGCTTTCTTAGGTGAAATTATAAGAAAAGTGTTAACAATGATTTTAGGCAAAAGAATAGGGAAAAGAAATTATTACGTGAATCAGCTATCTAGGATTCATCTTCTGTAACGAAAGACAAAAAATCTCAATCACATAAGAAGAGGGAAGCGAAGATATTATATAGGATGTATTTGATTTCACAGCCATTTCAGCATCTGAAAAACCCATATGACTGAAATTATCATGACAGAAAACCCACTTTCCGTCACTGAAAATACTGAAAAATTCCATAGTTATACTATCTAAATTTTGCCTGTTTATATCAGAAAGCTTGCGATGCGAAAAAGTAAAGAATTATAGCCAATTAAGATAAAATTTTATGTTGGTATCATTATAATATAGAATTCGATAATCAAGTAAAAAATATTATGAAAACTAATCGAATTGGTGAGAAAAAAGTGAAAGGACAAATCTATGATTTTATTATTGCGCAACTCGGTACTAAACATAACACATTACTTAAATAAACTCAGAGAGCAAGAAACATATACAAATTATTTGAGAAAATAGGGATTGATAAAATCAGGTATATCACAATATAGTGCGAATTCTTTATCAGAATTATCTGATAGTCAATTTCAAACTATTATTGATTATTTCTCTAAGAACTCCAACACTGAATTACCAGATGATCAGCATATCTCTGACATAGATTCCGAAGAGGGATTTCGAATGAGGTAAGCTTATCAACTATACCTATTCCTTTATTTTATGACTCTAATTCTTCAAAAGAATCAAAAGTAATCGGTCCAGATAATCCGCCCAAAGCTAATGACTATGATGATTTATATTATGATGATCCCATGTCTTTGTCAATGAAGAAAGGAACTAATGAAATTAAGTTAGATGATGAAAATGATGAAAATGATTCTGAAGAAGAAATGCCAGATGAATCGGATAATGATGATGGATATGATGGATATGGTGGATATAATGAATATGGTGAATGTGATAGAGGTTATTATTATCGTAATAGAAGATATGAAAGGAAAACCTCCTCAATGATGAGTCCCATTATCTCTCCAGTAACTGCTTAAGAGAATTATTAGATGAATTATATACTCACATAGACTGAATTATTATATCTTTTTTTTTAAATCACGTGGATGGCTTATGCAAAGTCATAGAATTGAACAGAGACCCGAATATCAAATCACAAATTTTTATCACGATAACAGTGAAAATTCCAATTTTATTCTGATAAAAATTTTCTAATTATTCTAGCCAGCTGGTGCCTTAATGCAGGATGATTTAGATTGCACTTGATTACACATGTCAGAATAAAATTATGTTTTATGACAAAAATTCCGTTTTATTCATTTATAAAATGAAATTTTTCTGGGTCTCTGCGCTGAGGGCGATTACTGCGCCTGTGGCATGTATATAATTATCGAGCTAGTGATTTTTTTTTAGCAATGTATTCTGTGTGCGAATCCTATGGCTAACTAACTATTTTATATGATTTATGCGTTATAAATGTTGTCTGATAAAATTTATCAGAAACTCGGAAAGTAATTTTTAGATTAGCAAAGTGACGTTCCAGTTTTTTTTACAGCGTTTGTTACAAGTATCATTAATATCATTACATTTTTACATTAGCATAGATACATAATATCAACATCATCAAGTCAATACTTAATACATTATATGATAATTCTACTTCCTTTAATATCTACGTTAATAAACACAATAGACACAATTGGTGCTAAAGTATGAATTCCTAAAGACACCGCCAATGACACACCCAATATTGTCAGAAGAATGACGAAAAATTAAACCCATTTATTAAGATAATATATCATTCCATTGCGTTCAAACATAACTTCCAGAATGACAACTCTAGTTATGAAATAAATTACATGTAAAATAATGATGAAGTTATTTGTTGCCATTACGCTTGTAAAGATCACTTCGTTTAAAAAAGCAATCACAAAAGTTATAAGTATGTAAAGTATGAAGGTTATTATTTCTGAGCCAATTTCCTATAGGGTTTATTAGGAAAAAGGAACTGGCGAAAAAACTAACATTTTTAGTAAATATTGTTGTTTTTGTTTTTGACAATGTCTTCTAAGTTAACATACCGACTTATTACGTTCTTGGATTATTCCTCTCAAAAATAAGTTCTTTGTTGCTTGTGTGGGAAATTCGTTATAAGTTCATTTTTGTTCAGCGTTCAAGCTGTCATAAACTTTTAGAAGATCTGGTAAAAGTCCATTATTTCTGTTGCTGTCAGCCATGTTTGAATTTTAAAGAAATTTATTTATGGTTTAAGTTCTTAGTAGTTTATGAAATATCAAATCAAAATTAAAAGATCAAAGTATGTAAAAAAGTATACTATATATAGGATATTTAATGGTGGCTTAGCTGATTGGCCAATCATCTCATGATTTATCATCACCAGAGATTCTGACTAATTATATTGATAATTCTAGCTAACGATAAACTGAGACATATCACAAAATTTATTAGTTGATCCACATTTATGATTGGCTAATTGTCATGTGTTAGAATAAAATTATAAAAATTCTGTTTTACGGCAAAAATTCCATTTTATTCATTTATTATAAAAATGGAATTTTTCCAGATCTCTGGAATCAAACACTTGAAATGCACCGGCAAAATTATTGCCGAAGAATAGGAGTTGTGCAACATGCAAATTAATCCCATAACTGCGGGACAATAGAATCACATGCTAACAGCCTGATCTTTATTGCAGCAAGATTTCATAAATAATAATTACATCATAATAAACTATTTTGTATAACACAATAAACTATTTATACTATACAATCCATTATAAGCCACTTTAGGCCAATGATGTTCTTTGGAAGATTGGAAGCATTTTGGAACCTTCCATCTTCCAATTCTAATGTTTATTCCAATTCCAATAGATTTTTATTGGAAGTTTGGAAGCATCTTAATTACGTGAAATATTTTTATTCAATAATATTTAATTACATGAAAAAAAGTTTTATTAATACTTTAAAAAATTTACATATTTAACATTTCATTTAAGTAATCAGGAGCATTTAAAGATGAATTAAATAAACTTCTAAGTTCCCATTTTGCTCTTTCATCTATTGCTGAATGCATATATTCATTTAAAAGATCACCTTCTAAATTACTATTTGAATTTTCTCTCAACGTCTCTTCCTCCTCCATTCATGCTACTTCTTCTTTCATTAACATCTTTTCCCATTCATTTAATTCTCGCTTTCAATGTTCTGAATTAATAATATTAGTATTATCTTCTTCAATATTTTCAATATCTTCAGAATTTCAGAATCTTCAACTTCAGGATCTCCAACTTCAGTTTCAATATTCAGATCCAGAAATTGTGCCTTATTTTGCTGTAACTCCTTTTCTCTTAATGAAAAATTAATAGATGTATGAAGTTGACTTATTGCCAATACTTTATCATTTTATTAAAGATAAAAAAATTATTTTTAATTGATAAAGATAAAAATTACTGATCATTAAGTCCTGATTATTGATCCCATTCATTAAGTTAATAAAATTTTATTTATTGATTCCAATTGTTAAAATAAAAATTCCATTTGTTAAGTTCCATTCGTCAAATTCCATTTATTAAGATTTAAAAATAAAAGTTAAAAATAAATTTTGTTAGTTAAAATAATAAAAATACTTTTGAAAAATTAAAAGTAAAATCATAACTTACTGTTAATCGATTACGACGAACTGTATATAAAAAACCCATAGATGACCACATTCTCTTAACCAAAGCTGCATTCACACGTATTCCAAAAATTTTTAAAGCAACTGCACCCAATTCGCTATATTCATCTTCTACAAAAGACCAAAATTTAAAGACATCATTTCCAAATTGTTCAAAAGTTTCATTATTAAATGGTTCAACTTTTTTACGAAAATCTTCAAACTCTAACAATAATTGCTTTGGCCTTTTTTAAACTATACTTTGTAATAATATGTTAAATACTGTCCAAAGAAGTATATGACAAATTATTAAGTTCAGAATTAAAATAACCTAGACAATATTTTGGATGAAGCATAAAAGAAAGTAATAATAATAGTTATTCCTATTGATCCCATCTTTTTTTTAGCTGATCAATCATTTGATTACCTAAATTTGGATCTGAAAATTGGCTCCAAAATTGAACAAAATAACCAATAGCATGGAGTAATTCAAACAAACGTGCTTTATCACATTGAAGTTTGTTTAAGACACTACAATATGGTAATAAAATATCCTGTAAAAGCTCAATCGTTTTCCACCAATTATTATCTAAAAGTATTTGACAAAAATCTGAATTTAGATAAAGTTCATCAGTGTTTGATGAACCAACTTGCGGACGTTTATGACGAATTGCTAAATTCTATGAAAATAAAAAAAAATTAATTATATTAAATAATTATATAAATAAAAAAGAATATACTTACTTGTAAAGCTTGTTTAAATTGAACAAGACTTTTAAAACAATAATAGTGACTGTTCCATCTCGTTTTTCCAGGTATTACAATTGAATAGCATTTGTTATATAGCTTTTTTTGAATATCTCGCAACTTACCAATAAAATAACTATTGTTCACATTTTTAAAGTAAGCTGCAACTGTGATAGTTTTACTAGATGCAATTTTTAAAGCTGGAGATTCTTTAAAAATGTCACCAATTGCCAGCTGGCATTGGTGTGCAAAACAAAGAAGAAAAACAATTTCTAGAAATTCTAATTAAAGACACCACCTATTACAGTATAATTAATATTAAATATAATTAAATATTAAATATTTAAAAATAATACATTTTAATTTTAATTACTATCACTTACTGAGCTGCTGCATAAGCAGACGTATTATCAGATACTATTGCATTAAGTTTAATATTTAACCTATTGATTTCTTGAATCATTAATTAATCATTCACGTTCATTACTTATATCTGAAGTATCCCATATCAAAATTTCGCCAGAAGAAGTTATAAATAATGATCCAAAAATATGTTAATTTAAAATATTTTTCCATCCATCAAACGCTAATACTATTCCAATTTGATCATTGATTAATTTTTCATCTCTCAAAGTATTTAAATTTTTAGTTTCCCTGTTTAATATGCGATTAAATAAAACTTTTCTTTTTGGTAAAACAAGAAATGAACTTAAAAATTCAAAAAATTCTAAAGTTGCTAGATGATTAACCCATTGAAATGGAAAGCCATTTGCTACTGACATTCTTAATAGAAGACGTTCAAATTTTAGTGTTTCTTTTTATTCATTTTATGAATAAGATTGCCTTCAATTGAATTTTTTTTGAGCTACGCGTAGATAATGTTGATATTGAAGAATATAATTTGACCAAAGCTACTTCTTCTGTTAATTTAAAATTTGAAACTTTAAAACTATTCTGCAAAGATTTTAGATATTTTAAAACTTTTTCATGATTATTTTCACTAAAATTATTATTATTTTGATATCTTTGACATTTATAGCTCATTTCTTCCTCTTCTTCATTATCCATTAAATAAATAATTTTATCTAATTTTTTTTGGTTCCCAATTTTTTCCTGAAAATGTACACAGTTTTTCAAATGATTTTTGATCTGTGGTTTTTTATTAGTAAAGGTATTTTTTAAAAGTTCATTATTTTCTAACTTTTCAACACATGCAATACATACTGCATAATTATTGCCACTGGTCGAAATAAAAACTTTCGGTCATGTGACAAATCGGCTGATCTGTCACACATTTTGGCCAAATTTCGGAAATTATTAAAAATTGGCCAAATTTCGACATATATGATTTATGGCCGATTTATTGAATTATTTAATCAAACGTTACACATTACACGTTACGCATATTAAAAGTTTAAAAAAGGATCATCTTATACATCCTTTTTTAAACTTTTTTAATTTTTTTCTTCCCCTCCCTTTTCCTTTCCTTCGTTCCTCTTCCCTGTTTCCCCTTCTTTCCCTTTCCCTTCCTTCGTTCTCCTTTCCCTTCCTTCACTTTTCCTTCCTTTTCCTTCCTCCTTTCACTTTTTTTACTTTTTTTTATAGGTTCGGCTTTCGGGTGGGCTTCTGAAGTATAGAAAAACCAAGTTTCGTAAGTACAAAACTTGGTTTATTTTTTTTTATTTTTTAATTTAATATGAACAGTTACTAACTGTTCTTTTTTTTACTTTTTTTTTAGGTTCGGCCGTTCAGATGGGCTTCCGAAGTATAGAAACCCCAAAGATTCATAAGTACGAATTCATTGGAGTTTTTTTTTATATTTTTAATA